TACTACTACTACTGCTACTGCTACGGAAGACTCAACATGGTGGCTTTCTTGTTTCCAACTGCTGGCAGAGGACTTGGCCAAGCTGCCGGCACCCGAGCCCGTACGAGAGGCACAACGCATGGCGCCGTTTTTTACAGTTCAGTTTACAGCTACAGCCAGTGCTTAGTTGACACTGGTGTAGCACAGCAATGGTCATGTACCAGCAAGTCGTTGGAGAGGCAAGCGCGATCGCAGCAGCTGTTTCCATGCATTGATTGCCGACAGCCCAAACAAGAGGCAAGGAAGTCCCGGCCCATACCATGTAGACATTTGCAACAACCACGCTCGACCTTTTGCTGGTTTTCGAAGAAGCTTTGTTTGACTCCTTAGCTTGTTCTGGTTGGTTGGCTCCTGGCTCCAACTCGGCATCGGCGTGGGCCTATTCCAGCCGGACGCTTTGCCTCCAAGCTGCTGGCTGAAGTGCCCCGGTTTCGTTTGACCTGAGTGTGAGGACGTTCATCATCGAATAAGTTGCTGACTTCACTACTTTGCTGCTGTGTTGTGTTGTATTCCTTGGGTATCTAAGTGAACTAGAGACTTGGGTAGTTCTCGGTTTTCTGCCTGAGTCCTGTGCTTAATGGATCAAGCCAGCTCTCGGCTAGGGTAAATGGACTTGCTTAAAGGATCATGGGACTTAGTAAGTAGGGTTATAACTAAGGTAACTATACTTATAACTCCCATTAGGGGACTTATAACCTTACTTACTAAGTCCCATGATCCTCCGAGAGGGTGTCAGTCAAGTCTTACACTTGTGAGAGAGTCGAAGATTCGGTCACAACTAGCACTATCTCTCCATGCACAAGTCGTGAGGTGCCGGAAACTGCATGGCGCCGAAGAAACAGCAGCCAAAGGTGGAGGAGCTGAAGTTATGCACCACCAGGTAAGATACCGGCAAGCATCAGATAATTACAAGAACCAGCATCCTTGCACGGCAGGGTTCATCAGCTCTTCCAGTTCGGAACACTGTATTGCGCCTTGTGCTTGGGTGCTGTGACATCGTGTCTGCGGCGAGGAGGAGGTCGTGGTGCAGGAGTCAGAGGACCGCGAGCTTTTCCGCGCTAAGTAGCCTGCGAAGTAAGCATGAACGTTCAAAGGATTGGCGTATGGTCCGCTTCGTTGTGTTGACTGTGGGGTGGGAACAATGCTGGCAAACTTGTGATTTCAGTACAGATGTTACGAATGAAGGTCGTCAAACACCCCCTTGGCGTAAACTCGTCTCCGAACTTCGCGGCGCAGTGCAGGATGAGCCAGAAGAGCCCGAGATTTTGACAAAGTGCCGTGACGAGATGAGCGGTCTGGGAGTTGTCTCCACGAATGCCATATCATTCATGTCAGCGAGTCAGGGAGGACTCGTGCAGCTGTAGTGCACGGTAGTGGAGACCGGTGATTTCATGGAACTCCCACGATATGTCAGTATGGAATGCATGTGAAGCCCAGGTGTCTACGAGCTCCTGGACAGCTCTTCTATGGCGAAGTAAAGGCAAAACAACGGGAACAGAGCAGTACGGCAGCTCCTGCATAGGGCTGCAACTTTCCTGCGTGTAAAATGCAGACTCGAAATCGTCAGAGACAAGAGCATCCCAAAAACGACTTCAGCACCATCTCGGCCGCAGGCCGGCTACCATCAGCGCAAAGGCCAATGGATCCGACATGGCAAGGGGCAGCAGGCGGGGCTTCTCTAAGCCTGCCGCCAGTTCACAGCGAAGCAAGGCGCACTGGAATGTATGACAGCAGGTCAGTGCGCCCATGAAGCATCCTACAAGCCTAAACACTATCTAAGTCTATTATCTGTGTTTTTGCCAGATCATGACGGCTGTGACGCCGATGGGTTTGGGGCCCAATCAGCGACCTGCGTTCGAGACCCTGGTCGTCAGCATCTACGAAGGACTTGGGCGGGAAGCAGTTTGGCAAGCGTCACCAGGCAATGCAAACAAGCTGAGAAATATTGTGGTCCTGGCCGGTTGCATCAACTTGATTGAGAGCTGCTGCTCATCTGACCTGTGCTTTTGGCAGGCGCCTGGGAGGAAGACGTACCCTGCGGTGAAGGCAGCTATCGTTGGAGTCCGGGCTGCACACGGCTTTCAGTTGCAAAGACCACTACACATGCTGGTCGTGAATGCTTTCAACACTGTTCTCAACCCAAAGCAACAAACTACAGAGGTCGGAAGAATTAGTAATAATTATTTGTTATAGTAGCATGTACCCCTAAACTCCCATGCGATTTGCTCAACTAGGGCTTCTTAAGAGCATGGTTTCCAGCAAGGAGCGATGGCAGTTCCTACGAAGGGAACTTCGAGCAAGGGAGGATGCATGGTCAAGGCCGTTTTGTGCCTCGGCCGCAGGGGATCCCAGGTAGCTATTGTTTTGGCGTCCAAGTTCAGCGATGCACGGCTGGTCCGACAGGCTTGCTGTGGACAGCAAGCGCGGCTCATTATGTCACAGCGCATTGGTTTCTGCGGCAATGCTAACGAGCGCGACATGTGCATAAAGCCAGATATGTTGCTGCCTTCGGCAACTCTTTCCGTGTTGACAAGGTGTTCTGTGCCTGGTGCAGCTCTGTCCTTTGTGGGGCTCTGTTTACGAGAATGGCCACACCCTGACATTCTACATGTTCTATATGCTGTATCTCCCTACCCCGAAACAGTATATATCAGTGTATCGTTTGTTCCAGTATGTTGCAAGTTGCAGCACTGTAAAACGAGAGGGGGCGCCCTAATCTAACAACGAAAGTGCCATAAACAAATAATTTGATGCCGGGTCATATGCACCTTCTCATACGCTTGTGAGGGCGGTTGCACATGCACATGTATGTACGTATAAGATTGTATAAGCACAGCATGCACCGACCATGTAAACAGACACTTAGATAGAAAGACAGATAGATAAGTTGACCCCAGCCGAAATTTGAAGCAGGGCCCTTTGAAGTGTTTCCCAGTACTAAACCCCTTTTAGCCAGCCAAGGTGTGGGCTGACGGAAGCTCATACGAAGGCAGCTGGTTCCAAGGCTCATGTCTGCAGTATACGGGTTTGGCAGGAAGGAAGGAAGGAAGGCCTTGCCTCCAGCATCTTCTAACATGTATCTCAAGAACTGATGTTGCTCAATGTTGCACATGATTTTAAGCTCTGATGTGTCGTGCTCTATCAGCTCTTCTCTGCCACTGCTGCTGCTTTTGCCGCTGCTGCTACTGCTGCTCCCTCCTCCTGCTACTACGGCTACTGCTGCGTTTAGAAACTACTACCTGCTGCTACTGCTGCCACTACTGCTGCTACAGCTACTGCTACTGCTGCTGCTACTACTGCTTCTGCTGCTACTACACTACTACTACTACTACTACTACTACTACTACTACCACTACTACCACTACTACTACTACTACTTCTTCTTCTTCTTCTACGACTGCTGCTACTGTTACTACTCCCACTACTACCACCACGACTACTACTGCTACTTCTACTACTACGACAACTGCTGCTGCTGCTGCTGCTGCTACTACTACTACTTCTTCTCCCACTGCTACTGCTACTGCTACTGCTGCTGCTGACTTCTTCCGCTGCTGGTGGATTCGTTTGTACTATGAGTCGTACCCTTGCCATCGCTATGAATATTGCTGAATCTCTATTACTATCATCTGCACAGCTGTTTGCTGTTCGGCGCTTCCGATCCTGATGCGGGCAAGAGTCCTTCTGGGTGCCGTTGTTTAGGCCATAAGTAATCTTAGACCACCAGGAGCCTTTCACGGCGAGGGCACCTTCGACTCCCGCTGGGATGGTGGCCGGTACATGCAAGGCACCGCGTGGCGCAAGCCATCATAGACAGCAGATGGACAGAAGTCAGTTGGAGCACTTCCATGTGTCTTCCATGTGTCTCAAGTTTTTTTGGAGTAAGAAGACAAGTTCTGCTGCAAGGCGAGTTCCACTACAACTGCTTCCAGAAGTCTGATGGTCGCTGGGTGGATATCTTGCAGCACATCAAGAGCCACGAGATGCGAGAGAGCCTTTGAAAGCACTCACTAGTACTGTAGTACTGCAGGCCAAGCTTTGATTTTGCTAAACGTCTGTTCCACACTGCATTTGCATCGGTGTGAGGATCGATTATTCGGCTATAGCTGCGCCATGTCAGGATCCTTCATGGGAACCCGCTTCGAACAGAGGCTCGTTGCATGGCGATGCGGGGCAGCCTTCAGGTATTTGTGGACTCTGTGGCATTTGTACTTTGCTGCATTTGGTCACAGTCGGTGGTCTCCCCAGTGAAAATACAAAGCCCTTCTGGCTAGAAAGGTGCTTCCAACTTCCGAATCAGCAATAACATGGATGGGTGAGATGTGTCATCCCTAAACCCTAAACCCTATACCCCTAAATCCCTAAACCCCTAAACCCCTAAACCCCTAAACCCCTAAACCCCTAAACCCTAAACGACAGAGGAGGCTCAAGGGTTTCTGGAGTCTCGCGGCACGCGAGAACAGGTGGAAGCTGCAGCAGCTGCAAATGCTTCGGCCTCGCGCCGGAAAGGCCCTGGTCAGCTCGGTTGGGTTGTTTGGGGTTTAGGGTTTAGGGTTTTAGGGTTCAGGGTTTAGGGTTTTACGGTTTAGGGTTTTTTAGGGGATGTTGACAGACATGGAATGGTCGTTTCCCTCACGGCTTGCACGCTTCGTGGACCGAGCGGGTGGGCAGAATCACCTGCAGGGAATAGGTCCTTTCGCCATCGAGGAAGGGGCCGAGCCTGTTCTTCAGCCGTGCCGTTTCGACCTCTCCGTATCTAGCAAGCTCCATCGTAATTTTGAAGCAGTTGCGCCGTGTACATAACTCGTAGGACAGTTGGCAAGTTGGAGATGTGTTCCCATCGGAAGCACTCGATTTCCAGAGATCTTTACGGAGAGAGTGTCGGTCCGCGGTTTTGATTTTTGCCCCGCAGAAGGAAGTGACTCAAGAGATCCCTAAGGGATCTTCCGGGTCGCTCAGATGCAGAGTGATCCGAAGCCGACGCCGCCATGGAACGAAGACCTCCGAAAGCTGCACCAGTTCATCGAGGAGCGTTGGGGCTTAGGACTTCACTGGGTATTCATGTGGGAGAACGTGTAATTCCCGTAATTTTATTGATAGTTTTGGGGACTGTTGCAAGCAAACTTTCCAGGACGGATCGTAGCAAATCGTAGAATATGGGAATGTTGGAGTCGGCCATCGGCATGTTCTGAGCCAGAAGCACCCTCAGAGGGCACAGCTGCAATCTGATTGATCAGGACCAGTTCTGTCGACAAGCAGTGCTGCTGCAGGACGGTTTGCTGAAGTGCTCAGGTGCATGATCACTCGCGCTCCCTGTGTACACAGCAGATTGTATTTCTCGCGATTGTGACAGTAGTCGACGAAATCGTAGAGAAGATCTGACACAACGAAGACCTGCATGACATGAGTCTGCACACATAACATACAAGCACGTTTATCTGTCCAACTACATCGGAGTCTGATCTGAGATCGAAAAATGCAGCCCAGGTAAAATTATGTACACCACCTAGAGGCTGATTCCGCAACCGCCGCCAGGAACTGACACGACCTCTTCGTTTTGCACCTGATAAGCTGGCACCTGCTGTTGCTCCTGTCCTGCGGCCACCTGAGGGCGAGACGAAGGAAAGACGTGATGCACGTTCATGATCTGGGACATTTTCAGGTGGGTGGTTACCGTTATAGGAGCCTTATGGAAGGTCTATATACTTTGTAGAAGGCTTCTAGAAGCCCTAAATGCCCTAGACTCCCCACCTGTAGTTTCCTTTAACATGATAAGCATGACGGGTATTGGCCCTGGGAAAGTGCAAGATTGAGGATACAGAGTGCATTGCACTCGACCAATGATACTACAAGAGTTTGATCATATGCGTTTGTGAGTTTGCAAGGGTGCCTTTGTTGGTTTCTGGGACAGTGATTCTGCGACACAGTGTTGTGCGCGTGATTGTTGTTTGTTGGAGAAGGATTTTTTGCTAGTTTGGGTTCGGCATGTAGGGTATGCATTACAGAGCTTCCACCGCCGCAGTGCTAGCACGGAAAGGTGGCAAGAGTTCGAATCTCAGAGGCACAGTTGTTTGGAAGCACGCTTTCGTTGGACTATGTCGTACAGGGTTGTTGCGGCCTTCGTTGAATTACCTCCTTCGTTGCTTGCTGCACGATCTGGCATTGCGTATGCTCTGATGTATCTCGACATGTCGGGGGTATTGCGATCATCCGAGCTTCATCACGCATCTCCACAATTTTGCAACAAAATGTGCCTCCTATGAAAGGACTTGGACGTGATTTCCGAGACATCGGGCGCTGGCATCAATATTCGACACATCCAAAGGCATCCAGGCACCGTGCTGGCTTCTGGCGGGCGCACTGAGAAAGCTGACATTCAGTCGGAGACCTCTTTGAACAATTCTGCAGCGGCCAGCGTGGCCGCAGAAGTCGCAGAGGCCAGAAACAAGGAGCGTTTTAAAACAAATATTATTTCGAGTAGGGTTTGCGGGCCCATAATATAGGTAAATATTTAGGCCCATTAGACTGTTTGAAAACACTCCGAAACAAGGAGCTCGACGAAGCTGACACGGAGAAGCGGGTGACGCTGTCTTTTCAGATGCCCGAAGACCCTCAGGACGTCCAAGATTTGGCGGCCTTCGATGAAAACTGGGAGCCTACAGCCCGGCCGAGTGTCGCTGAATCTCCGGCTAAGCGCTCCCGCGACAGTTCGCGGCAGACCTTCGTGCGGGCCACGCTCAGCCAGCACCAAGAAAAGGCTGCAGCTGCCGCCCGCCTGGTGCGTCAAGCCAGAGACTGGTCTGAAATACGGCCTTGTGTTCTGAACCTTTGAAGATCAAGCAGCTTTCATAAAATAGAAGTAACGCGACTCTACGGTTTGGCCAGGACCCTATCACTGTGCTTATCGCTAGGAACGACGATGCGGTAGGGCCGGCCAGAAACGCCTGCGATTGCCTGTTGTTGCCAATATACGAGGCACTGTCAAGCCGAAACACTGCTGGCCCAGCGCAAAGCAGGTTGTGACGTCTCGAAGCATGGCTGCATTTCTGTTGAAAGGTGAAGATCTGCATATTTGCCAGTACCCGCAGTGCCACACTGTCATTGCTATGTTGTTGTTGCTATGGGTGCGCTTAATATTCAAACTAGCAATACGCTTGCTAGTTTGCTACTACGATTTCTACAACGAAGTATCAGAATCCTTTTGCTGGCGATGTTGGTATTGCAGGTGCCTACTTAACTTTATATCATAGGTTATCATTCTTTCGCTCTCGTCTTTGTGGTTCTCTACACCGACAGCATGATTTGGTGTATTGTTTCTGCCTGTTCATCGCCTGCCCCTGCTATTTTGGGCGAGTTCATGGTGGCCGGACGACACTCGACATGTCTTTGATTTGACTATGTACCATTTCCATGTTGAGGCTACACCACTCGTGCTTCTATCATTGCTACCGCCACTACCACTACCACTGACGACGACTGCTGCTGCTGCTATTACGAGGACTACTACCACCGCCACGATTACTGCTATGGTGAGTCAAGACTGAGGCTACGACGACTTCTACTGTTAAAGCCAATACTACTCCCCTGCACATACTACATAATAGACCACATGACTACCCAAGGCTACGACGTCACGTTGCACTATCATATTAGTGTACAACATAACCAGCAAGAAAATACAGATGACAACGCAAGTAACAGACGTAAGACCGCCACCACTATTAACCCCGGCGTTCTTATCACAAAGCCAAGCTGAAGGTTTGCTCAACTATAAGGTCGCATCGTGACATGTACAGCTTTTATTTTGCACAGGCTGTAGAACTTCTGGATACTTAGGGCACAGATTGTGTTCGGGTGCGTGCAGGAGTGTTTGCCTACGGCATCATCTGTCTGATCATTGTGAATCTCGTCCTGCTGGGCATCGAGGCCATGCACTCGTGCATGAGAGGAAAGAGTATCAGAAGACCCTAAACCCTAAACCCTAAAACCCCAACCAACATGGTGTTCCAGACCCTCCCGGCGAAGGAAAAGAGGTGATAAATAAAAAAACCCTAAAGCCCTGAACCCTAAAACCCTAAACCCTAAACCGCATAACTCACCGGCATTCCATTAGGCAGGCCAGCTCAGAGTCGTGCCGTGTGCCTTGCACCCTGAGCATTGCCAGGTCGATATCAGCGCTGGCCTCCCTCAAAATGAGGCATGAACAAACATGCTGCTAACTCGTAAATCTTGTGCCTGTCCGACACTGTCGGCCTCTGTTTTCATTCATGAAGCCATTGGAAATCGTCATAACAAGTTGCACCGTCACACCGAGCCGTGCCTGCTGTTTCACATACGCTGGCATGCAGCTCAATCTTGATTAAAGCAGGTGCCTACATGGTTTGCGATCGTGAACATCGTCATCGTGTCGGTATACACCTTGGAATCTCGCCATGCCCTATGACGCGTCTGCTTGTTTTCGATATGAGATGGTGACTGCCACATGATCCAGTAGAGGCATCCACCATGGGTTCCACAACTCGGTCCATAACTCAATTCAAACGCAAGCTAGGTGCCTGTGCCAATTTTCGAAGTCGAACACACGCACACTCCGCATTCAGTTTCACAAGGCACAGGTGCATGCCGATCTGTATATATGTATATGTATATATACATATATTTGTATATGTATATGTGTACATACATACCCATACACACATACATACATACATACATACATACATACATACATATATGGATCTAGTCTAGACAAGCATAGGCATCCTTGGCGTGCCATTATACCCGTCGAAAACTGACTCGACAAAACAATCAAGTCTGGCTCTAGGGCTGTTTGCTTGTATACGGTTGGCTCACTTTATCTGCACATCTGCACCTAAATTTAAATGTATGTGTGAACCTTTCCCGTTAGAATATTATGAATATATATATATATATATATACATACACATGTTTTCTTGCACGTGCGCGTGTGTGTGTGTGTGTGTGCAGCCGTGGAAAACAGCCTGTTGTACATTGACGAGGACCATTCCAGAAGCCGCGTTCTGCCTTTTGCCGATGGTGTGGGCATGTTTTGGTGCCTTTTGAACGATCTGCGGTCATATGAGCAGCCGAGGAAATCGCTTTGAAGATCATTGCGTTCGGAGCACGTGAATTCTTCCGTGGAAAGGACAACTACTGGAATGTGTTCGACTTCGTCATCGTTTCGGTGTGGCATGTTTGCATGATGGCATGGTCCAAATTGTCTTTGGACTGCAGCGGGAAGACAGCAGCCCCCTCCCTTGCAATCGTAGCACGAACAGGAGACGTGAGCCAACCCCGTGTGACTCAGCATCCAGTCACACTTCAGATTTCAGATAAGCTAATTTTGAAACTGATACTGCCAAGCCCTGTCTCAGATAAAGGTCAATCGGTGAGACGCTCATCGAGATGCTGATTCTCACGTCCTCGCAGCTTAGATGGCATGATGTCAAGAACTGCGGCGGTCATGCAGTAGTGGTTGAAGTCGTCATGCAGGATAAGCAGCTGTGATGATTCGTGGTAGACGCTCTATATACTGCCCACCATCATCGTGGCTATCAGCATTACCATCATCATCAGCCATGATCCTCTTTTCATCTACAGCGGACAAGCAAGATGCACCACAAGCATGCATGCTTGCTAATTAGTCACTCCACCGAACACAGAGTATATGTAGCAGTTGGGTCGCACGACTTCTGAACACACGTGCTCCTGCAGAGTTGCATGGGAAGCTCTGTAACCATTGTCTGAGGAGTGTGGACTCTGCACATTTGCGAGTGCTTCGTTTCTTGCGGGTAGCCCGAGCATTGCGCAGCATACGCGTGATGCGGCTGGTTCACTACATCGGTGCTTTGCGGACTCTGGTGCACCCAGTCTTCACAGCACGTGTTGTTCTTCCGGAGTGTTATACGTATTTTGCAGGAGAAGGCTCTCGACGGTTCGTGTCAGCTCAGGTTCTCAATCGTGAGCACTATGGGCAGCCTTTTATGGACCATGCTACTGATGGCCTCTGTGCCGCAGCAGTTACAACAGAACCGAAAGCACATTTTTTCAAGTTCTTGCTTAAATCAGAGAAGCTACAGATGCTGAGCATTTGGCAGGTCATGATCTTCTACTTGTCCCTTGGCATCGCTTCAGAAAGTGTTCCGACTGGGGCTACTGGAAGTCTTCCAGTCGTGATGTCGGCACGACTACTCTTTAGGGTTTAGGGTTTAGGGTTTAGGGCTGGTAGTTTAGATCCTGCATTACCTTAAGGACCCTAAACTATGGGAATTATGGTATATTCCTTATTGTGGGTAAGGCAGGATTTATATCATCAACCGTATACCTCCACATACATGCATGCATGCATATATAAATTATTATACATATGTATATACATACATATATATATATATTGATATACATACACATGCGTTTATATATATGTATATATGTACATACCGATGTAGATATGGCCCATGTCTCTAAAGCAACCGCCCAGGTTTGGTGTAATCCTGGCACAGATCGCCACAGACAATTGCCGTACCCTGCAGCAGACCGCCACGGGCGACATCAATGCCGTACCGTTGTGCGAAGGCGCTCTCTACGTGCGCCTTCGCTGAATTCCTCAGTCTGGACCTTCAGTCTAACCAAGACCCCCACAGCGTGTTGAAACAATCCTGTCCGGCCAGCTGGCAGGGACTGATGTTGTCAATAGGCTTCGTATAATCTACTTCGTAGCATCTGTAGAGTTTGCTCTCAGCACGTTTGCTGCCATGCCCTCCGTCGTCCCATCGAAATCGTTCAACCCTGAGGCACTGGAGGACTGTGCCGGTGAGCATGCTGACACTCTTCATGGCTGTTACTCGGTCTGGTATGCAGGAACACAGGAATTGACTGCGCAGCATTGCAGAATGTCGACCATCCAATTCCAAACTGACTCAGGTTAGTGGCGGACTGAGCTGGACAGAGGCCGGCATAGTGCCATGCGCAGCAACATGCAGTTTCCCCTGGATGGCAACTTGGACATCAGGGCTTCGGTGCCCACGATAGTCAGAGGAACCTTGCGCAGGCTCATGCCATAACACCCCAGGCCCCAAAACGTAGGCTTCGGATGAAGAGGTATTTTCTCGAGGCTTGCGAAACGGATAATATCCCGAAACGATACTGGACTACAGTGAACCATAGACTGTAGTATACTAAGAGTAACCTATGAGGTACGAGAATTTAGCATGGTAAGCTCTGCTACACTATGCTACACTATAGCTCCCCTGTTTTCATGTGGGGGTTTCCGAAAATAGGGGACCCTAATATAGTACCCTAAATAGTAGGATCCTTATTATAAAGACCCCAAAATAAGGTACCCCTTATTTCGGAAACTCCCATGTAGAGGCGCTGCAGCCATTGCAACAGTTCTCGCCCTTCGGAGTCGCATGCGGCTTGTCGCGGTCATTGGGGGGACTGGAGGGTTAGGGGTCGAGACGAGAGACCTCTGGAGAGATCACCATAGGGCCCCTTGATAGGGATCTATAAGGGTTTCTATCGCGCTTCTATAAGGGTTCTATATATATATATATACATATATATGGGTGGTTCTCTAAATTAGGATCCCTTGGGGGACCCCAATGTAGAGAACTACCTAGATATTTTGTTTCATAGTATGTTTGTATGCTATAGTACATACATATGTATATATATATATATATGTGTATATACATATCTCTTAGTATGTTATAGGATAGCGTAGTATAGTGTTGCTTGCATGGCGCGTGATATCAAGTAAGTTCGGACGAGGCTTGTGTCTCGAAGTGCAAACTCTCTGAGATCTGAGGTGTGATCACATACATCGTAACTTGGCTCTCTTTTGCTTGGCTTTTCGAACTTGAACTTTTTAGATTTCTTCGTTAGTTACGAAACGGAGGCTAAAAGTTTAACTGATAAGGTTTTGGGAAGGGGTTCAGACGTCTGCCCAGGTAATCACGGTGTTCGCGGTCCTCAATGTCGTGACAGGCAGGGCCCGGGTCAGGTGTTTCGAGACACGGACGGGACATTCTGGCACAGCAGGGTGCTGTTTAGGGCTTTCAGGGCCTTCGATCAAGAAACAGCTAGTGCTCGTGATCGTTATACTAATTACCGCTACGCCGATCTGCATGATGATGTGACGCTTGCCTGAAGGCGTCTTCTGCAACACCGCAATTGCTGCACTGCCGCATGTATTGTTGACTCGTACGTACTAGCTGTACATCAAGAGCTTCTTTTCAAGAGGTGTCAGGCTCGCGGGCAGCTGTGGCATGCGGAAACAAGCGGTATCCACGCTCGCCACAACATAGTCACTGCCCTTACTTGCCATGTTCCATCCAATGCCAGCAAGTGAGATAGATTGCAACACAGGATGCGACAGTGTCAGCCGTCTGCTCCCACTGACGAAAGCCAGTTCAAGTAGAAATTCGGCAGGACGGCAGTGAGACTTGTCGCTGAGGAGAGTGCTCACGCGGACAAAGATATCGCGATCATGAAGCAGATGAACAAGAGAAATGCACAGGCAAGAATCCAGAGAGTTAGGCAGGCTCTTCGCGGACTGCGGAAGTACAGAAATTGAGTTTGCCTCACTCGCTGCAGAAGTGTCGCTTTTCGAGTTGCAACATGAAAACACTGCTAACTTCCCGAACGCCTTGTCTTTGATGGCCTGCCCCATAGTCTACTTGGCCGATCGAGCGCTTTTGCCGCAGATCGAAGCACTGCGGCATATCTTTGGAGAGATCGACCGAGACCGTTCGAACAAGGCAGCGCAGTGCATCTTGCAACTAGGTGGTGGGGGAATTGGCATATTTTACAGGTCTTCGTGAGTCTCAGCATCAACACGCTTCATGGTGGTCCGGATGAGCCGCCTTCATGATGTACACATGTGACTGGATCCAGGTCAGCATTCAGGAGCTCAAGGACGGGTTGAAACTGCCATGAACTGGGTCATAAACAGCCACGTTGCGTTTGTTTGGAGACTATGACCGACGAACTGTAGCTGCCAAGGGCTTTCCCTGAAGTGCCTGGACTTGGTCAGGACGCGATGGACACTCAAAAGCTGTCCAGTTTCATGGAATCTCTCGGCATCTCAACGGAGGACCCCACGGCCGAGATCCGGAGACGGTACGTGATTCTAGAATCTTATAGAAATTTTCTACTGCAGAGGTCAGTTTTTGGTTGGTGGTTCCCGGTTTAAGGGAAAAGGTCGGATCTGAATCGTTGCCCAACGCTTTCACAGCAACAGATGGGACCCGAGGGTCCCCTTAACCGTGATTGAGTAACTGCTCGGACCCTAAATGGGAAGTTCCGAAAATAAGGGGATACCCTATTTTGGGGTCCTTATAATAGGGATCCTACTATTTAAGGTACTATATTAGGGTCCCCTATTTCCGGAAACCCCCAAATCCTAAACCCTATAAACTGCAGTGGCGGTTGAGTCATGGGAGACTTCTGAATTAAAAGAATACCGAAGACATGGTTCTGCATCATAGACGGGAGCAAGCCTGCCGCTCGTTGTGGCAAGTTCGATGAGGTCAAGAAACTAAGAGACTCAAGGTCAAACTAAATGGCTGATGTTTCGGTTTTTAGACGTTAATCGAGAGTGAGACACATCTTTCTTATGGGTCACGGACTCGCTTTATGCGGCAGGTCGGGAGTGGCATCAGCCAATCAGCCTCATTTCTTCTGCCGTCGAGCCGTGCGCATGGGCGGTGTTCCGTTCAGTCTCATGCAAAGGCAAGCATAAGCATGTTACAAGTCTGCAGAACAAAGCCTCCAGGACGTTTGGACGCTTTTCATGGTCATCGACTCTGACGCGGCTTAGCGGCAAGAGCGCTCAGACCACATGCTCCAAAGTGGCAATGCTCATTAGCTGCTCGTTGAAGTCCAGACATTGTTGAGCCCGCGTGGTCAGGCATGCCTGAAAATCATAGCTGACTCACCTCGCCACGACATGTAGGGGTGGTAATCTGGGCTTGCGAGAAGTGGAGCCACAGCAACAACTCACAGGGATGTTCCGAGAAGTGGAGCCACAGCACCGTCCCTGTGAGTTATTCCCTTATTGCAGCTAAAATAGATTGCAACAGCACTTCTTGCAGAAGCCTCCTCCAGACCACCCAAATAGCGTTACGATAACGCGATGCTGTGCAGCTGCCATTGCAGAAGCCTGTTGAGGAAAGCGGTGAGATCACCCTCGATGAATTCGTTGGTGGCTGCGCTTTGGATTGCATCAGCTGCTGAGGCCAAAGCGAAACACACTTGAGCCATTTAGGCGCATCTCGTTTGGAGCAAGCCGCCTCCTGCCACAACATCCTGAAGCCGGGTCCCAGTCCCGTTGTAGATCATGTCCTTGCGCTTTTGGTAGGTGAGTGACTAGGTGAGGGTAAGAGATGTGCATTAGTTGATTTGGGTTCCTCATGCTCCCACACGCCTTCTCGGTTTAGATACAGCCTAGATTCACAGCTACATGATCCTTCATTTGGGAAGAGGATGGTGTTGATCAACGAAGTTCGCCCATACACACACACAAGGTTATCGAAATTTGAGACCGTGAGCGGCACATCGCCCACAACCAGCCCAGGCATGACGCTCAATGGGCCTGCCCGGAGTCTTCATCTTGCACGGATGAGCCACGAAAACAAGGCTCGGAAGCTTCTGGAAGCACTTTCAAGACTGCACCACATAACTTTGCAACAGACCATCTAGTGCCGGTCGCCGTACATGGAGCCACATACCAGTGTCCAGCAATTCCTTACCAAGAGAAATCTCACAACTAACTTCCCCAAGTTACCAACCTATAAACGATCCCTGACCATACTTTGTAACTTGTGGTGTGGGGCTTTGGATCATGTCTCGTCCCGTCCTCTATCCTTGATTTTGCTATCGACCCTATACTTTGCTAGCGAAAGTGGTGCTTCGCAAGCATAACGCATTTCTCGATGATTGAGATTGCAACAAAAACCGCTACGTCCACACGCTTCACTGCGCCCACATCGGCCCCATGAATGGTCCTCGCTTGCCAGGTCACTCGACAGGAGATCAAGCAGCTTAGTGGCCAAATGGCTGGACTCATGACTTTCCTTGGCGTGGATCGGGCTGTCTCCGAAAAAAGTGAGTGCGTACCATGCGCTGTCTTCCAACTTGGATGGTTCGGGATGGCTGGAGGTGTGCAGTCAAGACATAACTAAGTTGCAGCTTAGCGATGCGGACTGGTTTGCGCCCATTGGTGTCCTCAGGGAGTGAGGATTCAAGTCGGACTTGCGGCCCAAGTGAAGGTCAGAAAGTCCCTTCAGGCTTAGGTATGTCAGGTATGTCCAGGGTCCAAGCTTAGGGCTTAGGGCTGCAAGCTCTCCTACTGACAGTGCGACATTTCTCTGCCGGAACCTGAAACCCCAAAAGGTTTGCTCATAGGCCTTGCAGTCGTGAGTGCGAGAGGCTCTGCCACCAACGGCGGCGGTTTTGCCAACGTTTCCTGTCCCAGTTCAGCTTGCATAAGCAGTGGGGCCCCAACCCCTAAGCCCTCATCCCTAAAATCCGGAATCAAATCCCAAAACCCTGATTAGAACTTCGACTCCCGAATTCGAAACCTCCGTAAACCCTTGGGCCTGTCATTGAACCAGAGGGTGAGAATCGGGCTTTTTGAGGAGCTGAGCCGGCCTGCAGGGCAGATCAGCAAACCAGCAAGCCAACCGAGAAAGTTATCTTGTCAGTCTCGTATTTCGACTTCTCTACACCAAGTCCAAACCTCACCTCTCGTCTTCTTCTACAGCATCACTGTCGACAACCACTTCATTGAACAGCCTTTCGTAATTTTTGCAACCCTGTACATGCGACTGCCTCCAAGTCCGGGAGAGATCGCTCCTCGGTTCCCCCGGACTGGTACTCTCTTCGATTGGTTGTTCGAGGACGTGCAGGCTTGGTTAAAGGCCAGCTGGGTGTTCCGAGGTTGGGATCCTTCCCAGCCTCCCCACACTGTTGTGTTGCCCATGCCGCAGCCGGACCCGCCCCTGTTCCCGGTCCACGTTGGGATGCATCTGTCTCCACACCTCTGGGCGCCTCTACGGACTCAGCCTATCTCAGCCTGCTGTCACTGGAAGTTCTGAGTCCCAAGATGCGGATATGGGGGCACAAACTGACTGCATCTGAGAGCGGCCGGTCCTGTTCCCCTAAGGGCCAGGCGCAAAGTGCAACAACGGATCCTTTGACCCGGACGAGCCTGTCCCCTCGACCATTCCCCACAGCGACATTTTTGAGACCGTTGAGTGCGGGGGGTGGGGGGATTGTGCCTTCCTTGCATTGCGTACTGCCTTGCTGCAGCCCAAGACCCAAGACTGTTGACCTCAAAAAAGGGGGAAGCTTCAAGCCTACCTCGGTGCATAGCCAGCAAAGATGCGGGAGCAAACCCCGGGAAATCGCCTATATCTCGGAGGCTGCCACTCACTGACCCGGGTAATTGGGCCAGCAGCGTGTCCTTGACCGCACTCACACTGGAGCTCCAGATGCAGCTGAGCATTTGGGCTTGGGACAAGGCTTTGCACAAGTGGAACCTTTATCTGATTGGACCAGCCCCATCGAGATTCCGTAAGCACAAGGGCAAAAAACCAAAGGTGACGCCAAGTCCACCAACACCGGTGTGTTTTTTTTGCGACCGTTCGGCTTTCACTACCAGTGGTTGCGGCCTCGGGGAGCCGACCAAGTGCTCAATAGCACACTGCCGAACATATCCTCATTGTGCAGCTGTCGGAGCCGCAGCCGCCTTGGCTGGCGCTGGCCGCCCTTCCGTCCACGCCGCGTCTTCGTGTGCAAAGCTGCTTGGCCCGAAGTCGGTCCATGCAACGCGTCATTTGCCTCCAGCCGTTCGTGGAACGTGGCCTCCGTGTTTGGCCTCAAGCGGTGGCCCGAGAGTTCGACCACGCTGGGTCGCTGCGCATGTCTGAAAGCCGGACAGGTCCTTTCTTTAGTGTGACGGTAGTAAACTACGGGTTTCGTCGCTGCGCAGCTTGTCGGTGGGCCTTTAGGAAGATTGCGTCTATTTGTGTTGATAAGGCCAAGGATTTGGTCGGCTATGTGGTTGGAATGTCACGTCTGGCTTTCTGTCCATTGCTCCGTAGCCTGGACTCGGGGGATCCTATGGTCGGCTGTTGTTAGCAATTCGTCTTTTACGAGTTATAAATAGGTCCTGAGGCTACGCAATGGTAGCGTGCAGTTTTCTTTGGAGGCTGGCTGGTTAACTGGGTACGAATTCTGGAGGGCAGAAAACCCTAACCCCCAAAACCAATAAACCCCGTTCAGCCATGCAGGAGGCAAAAATAAACCCTAAATCCCAACCCCTCCCT